GGGCACTGCCCATAACAACATTAGACACTTTCCTGGCAGAATAAGCAGTTACCTATTTTTCATCCCAGCCTGAGAAAGAGCACCCGTAAACTCTGATCTAGGGTTTTGTTCCACACAAGCTCCAAAGAAACTACCTCCAAGGTGTCGAGGGCACAACAGCCTTCCCGACATGGAATCTGACCCAGCACGGGCAAAAGTACTCTTTTCCCGATGGAGGTAGCTGGGAGAATTTACAGGCCACAATGACCAAAACAAGGAAGAGAATAAAGACAACTGAGTTAAGACTATCTGCCACATGGCAAAGGAAGAAAGAGTGAGGCCTCAGTGATAGAAGAAGATGAGAAAGAAAGAGAAAAGAGTAATTTCTGCCGGGGTATAATCAATAAAATTTCCCTGCATCCAGTGGTTCATCAACCACTGTAAGATATCTCCTACCTCGAGGGAAGATGGCCTGAACCAGTGTATGTCTGCTAGCAGGAGTCTAATAAAACTGACAAATTTACAGACACAACAGGACCACATACAAGAGTGACAGACAAAGGGTGGGTGCTCCCCAGATGGAAGACCAGTCAGATGCCTGCCCGGCCGCTTTCTTGGAAGAATTTTCAGGGGCGTCTTGCCTAAGGTGTACCCGTATAATCCCCGGGCCTGGTCACCTCAGGATGGAAGTCCAAGTAGGACAGCTCTGAGGTGAATCACCGCTATGCCTTACGACGCCCCAGTGGAACTGCGGGTGAAGGCCCACACAAGCCCCGTAGCCTTTCAGCCGTGGGACTACATATATACACACTCACTCTCTCACTCACACAGAGGTTACGGAAAACAACCGAACGCTGCCACCCACTATGCCAGCTACCAGAAGGCGAACGCTGGTACCCACTGCACCAGCTACCAGAGGGCTGCCACCCACTATGACAGCCACCAGAAGGCGAACGCTGGTACCCACTGCACCAGCTACCAGAGGGCTGCCACCCACTATGACAGCCACCAGAAGGTGAACGCTGGTACCCACTGCACTAGCTACCAGAAGCCTCAAGCGACATCTCGGTGAGGCTTGCCAGGTCAGAGTTGCAATGACTCGTCAGTCCCCCAACGCAGGCCCTTCCTTTGAACTAGTTCCCAGACGAGACTTACCTCCGGAGGTTTTTTTTTTAGGACCCTGAGGAATTTTGGGTGAATGTCGGCCGAGAGTTCGCTTATCCTCCACGGTGGCACTCCGGGGCCCTAGGAAAGAACAGGGGGCACCTCCCCAGAGGCCCCCAAGGTGGGAGCGGCTGCCCGGGGGAGACTCTGAGATGGCTTTTGTCTGGTGATAACAAAAAGGGAATATCTCGGTGGGACCTCCAAATGTTGTATTGGATCGAGCGTAGAAAGTTAGCACCAAGACAAAAGTATGCCACATTGCAGGGTCATTTATTATGCCAGCGACCACAGAGGACTCATGTCTCTCCAACCTGTGGCGTCAAAAGGAGGGTGCCAAGACTTTATACCCCAAAAACCACCTTGGGAGTGGGGGTGAGGAGCGGGGATGGGCATGAAAAGGTTTCAGACATTCCAAGGGCTAGGGGATTCTGTGATTCACCTCCTGGGCGGAGACGAGGACGGGGGTCTCCGGACATTCCAAGGTCCAGGGGATTCTGTAATTCACCTCCTAGGCAGAGATGAGGGCGGGGGTCTCCGGACATTCCAAGGGCCAGGGGATTCTGTAATTCACCTCCTGGGTGGAGATGAGGGCGGGGGTCTCCGGACATTCCAAGGGCCAGGGGACTTTTGTCATTCTGTTTGTTACTTCAGTGGTTTACAGAAGTCAAGATAAGCATTTGTTTACACACAGATCTTAGTTATCCTGGGCTGTTTATTTTAGTTATTACCAGTAAGCAAAGGCTAGCAATTCTGGCACAATATCACACATACAGTAACGGGTGGCATTCTTTTAGGTGTTTGATCTTTACCTGCCTTCTTTTTCTGACAATCTCTGTGAAAATGCCCAGGTTTACCACAATTGTAGCAGGTAGCTTTAGTCTGTAGGGCTGAGGCAAGGGCATTCGCAAAAACTGTGGCATGATGTTCAGGAGTCCCTACAC